ATCTTCATTTGCATTGTTTTACTAACTATAGTTATTATTCATGTATTAGCACTCTGAGCCTACTGTAATGGTGTATACCTTAATAAAGAACTGAATATTTGTAATGGCTGGCAGTGAATTTAGTTGTTCTTGAATTTAGAGCTTAAAATATGGGGGTAATTTGCTGCTTGATTTCCTTTGAGAAATAATAAGAAAAACAGAATCTAATAACAAACGGATTTTAGGGAAAGCACTGTAAAACCATATTGCAGGGGCCTTTGAAAACAGTATGCTAAGAATAGATAGGGCTCAAGGACAGTATCTCCAACTGAACTTTTAATGAACTCCCGTGGGCGCCAAGAAGGCGGGTAGATAAGAAAGAATATAGAAACAAGGTACTGAGTAGAAGGTTACATGTGGGAAAAGAAAGTTTGTTTTGCATTGCATTCTTTCTGCTGACGTGAGGTTTATGGAGTATAAATAAAGTGAGGCGGAGGCTCTGAGTGCGGCCGCCATGTTCTTTGTGTGTCTTTGTCTTTGTGTGTGTTCTTTCATTCTCCACCACCCCCGGTGCGGCCCCCAACACCATATGATCAATTCTAGCTTCTTATATAAACATGGAAAAATTGCCAGCTGAAGACTTGTCATGCTCTAAGAAGTTGAGGAGAATTTGCATTTTTAGAACTGTGAGCCAAATGAGAACTGCTGCTATGTTCATGTTTTATGAATTTAGCTTTATTTCATTCACACAATTCATGGAAAAACATGCATCTTTTAACTCAATGTTTTTCAATTCAACTTTTAAAATACAGGATGTGGGCCAGGCCCAGTGGCTCAAACCTGTAAAAGAGATTACAAAAATTAGCTGGGCATGTTGGTGCACATCTGTAGTCCCAGCTACTTGGGAGACTGAGGCAGGAGAATTCCTTGAAGGAGGTGGAGGTTGCAGTAAGCCAAGATCGCGCCACTGCACTCCAGCCTGGCGACAGAGCAGGACTTTGTCTCAAAAAGAAACAAACAAACAAACAAAAAACCAGGGTGTGTTACTTACCAAGGAAAATTCATGTACAATGGTTAATTACGTGACAAACATGTCAAGTAATTCCATCTGGCTTTGTGTCGCCATTTCCCCACCCCCCTTTTTTTAGAAACCAAAACCAAGAAGAAGAAGAAACATCAAAATGGACATGGAAATTAACAAATACATGATTCAATTTAATCTTCTAAGAGGTTTTTAAAAATTATTTTGAGATGGAGTCTCGCTCTGTCGCCAGGCTGGAGTGCAGTGGCACCATCTCTGCTCACTGCAACCTCCATGTCCCATATTCCAGTGATTCTCCTGCTTCAACTTCCCAGGTAGCTGGGACTACAGGAAAGTGCCACCACACCCAGCTAATTTTTGTATTTTTGGTAGAGATGGGGTTTCACCATGTTGGCCAGGATGGTCTCTATCTCTTGACCTTGTGATCCACCTGCTTCAGTCTCCCAAAGTGCTGGGATTACAGGTATTATTTATTTATTTATTTATTTATTTTGAGACAGGGTCACCCTGTCACTCAGGCTGGAGTATAGTGGCACAATCATGGCTCACTGAAGCCTCAACCTCCCAGGCTCAGGTGATCCTCCATGTCAGTCCCCCGAGTAGCTGAGACTACAGGCATGCACCACCATGCCCAGCTAATTTTTGTATTTTTTGTATAGACAGGGTTTTGCCATGTTGGCAGGCTGGTCTTCAACTCCTGGCCTCAAGTGATCCACCTGTCTCCACCTCCCAAACTGCTGGGATTACAGGTGTGAGCCACCATCCCCCATCTCATCTGCTAAGTGGGTTTAAAGAAATTCAGTTTCGGCCGGGCGCGGTGGCTCAAGCCTGTAATCCCAGCACTTTGGGAGGCCGAGATGGGCGGATCACGAGGTCAGGAGATCGAGACCATGCTGGCTAACATGGTGAAACCCCATCTCTACTAAAAAATACAAAAAATTAGCCGGGTGAGGTGGCGGGCGCCTGTAGTCCCAGCTACTTGGGAGGCTGAGGCAAGAGAATGGCGTAAACCCGGGAGGCGGAGCTTGCAGTGAGCTGAGATCGGGCCACTGCACTCCAGCCTGGGCGACAGAGGGCGACTCCGTCTCAAAAAAAAAAACAAAAAACAAACAAAAAAAAAAAAAGAAATTCAGTTTCATGTCAATTTTAAAAATGCATGGTCATCAAATTTGACTTCCTTTTAAAAATGCAATCAGATAATTGTATGCTTGTTTGATGAGGGGAGGAAAGTTAATATAGCCAATCTACTCAATATTCTTAGCAGAAATTATCAGAGACTAAGGAAATGTTTAAGTTTTTCTCATGTTGGTTTTAATTACCTGATGTTTTCAGTTTTCTCTTTCATTCTTGTGTCTTTTTTTCATTTTCAATGTTTCAAATACAGTTTGTATTTAAAGATTTAAAAGTTCCAAAACTGTAAGCACAGTGAATTGTTTCCTGGGATGATGTTAAAATTATACAACAAAATATATGAAACTTGTCAATTTGGTTATTGGCACACACAAAATATTTACAAATAAACGTGTGTGTGTGCGTGTACACACAATTCAATGAAATAGATGTGAAACAAGTTTTCTTTTCTTTTCATTTTTGTTTTGTTTTTTGAGACAGAGTTTTGCTCTGTCGCCCAGGCTTGAGTGCAATGTCGCAATCTCAGCTCACTGCAACCTCTGCCACCTGGGTTCAAGTGATTCTCCTGCCCCAGCCTCCCAAGTAGCTGGGACTACAGGCGCACGCCACCACTCCCAGCTAATTTTTGTATTTTTAGTAGAGACAGCGTTTCACCATCTTTGCCATGCTGATCTCCGACTCCTGACCTCAGGTGATCTGCCCGCCTCAGCCTCCCAAAGTGCTGGGATTGCAGGCGTGAGCCACCTCACCCGGCTACAAGTTTTCAAAATATAGTTATCTGTACCCATACATTCTCTGGTTTGTCCACAGGACATCTTATGACTTGGGCAAGATGCTGAAAATCCATGGGTGCAGCATTTGTATGTCTATAGGATTGCTCAGATCTGCCCCCACCCAAAAAGAATTTTAAGAGAATTTCTTGAGGCCAGGCACAGTGGCTCACACCTGTAATTCCAGTACTGTGAGAGTCCGAGTTCAGAGGACTGCTTGAGACCAGGAGTTCAAGAGTAGCCTGGACAACATAGGGAGACCTGTCACTACAACGAATAAATAAATTAGCCAGGCTTAGTGGCTCATCCCTGTGGTCCCAGCTAGGGAGGCAGAAGTAGGACTGCTTAGTCCCAGGAGGTCAAGACTGCAGTGAGTAGAGACCCAGTCACCTGCATTCCAGCCTGGGCAACAAAAAGAGACCCTGTCTCAAAAAATAAGTTAAATAAATAAATAATAAAAGTAGTTTAAACCCTAAACACATCTTTTTTTCCAAAGAGGACTTCTTAAAGACTTCATGCTGCATCTTGTTGATCTCCTCTTCCCTTTTTCAGAGTCCACGCTTTTAACAGTCTCTTTTGCCAAGGATAATAAGTATATAGTTTCTGGAATCCAGATCCTTCCCTGTTAGGACAGCTAAAGGGACAATTTTTGGTCTGCAGGCCTTTGCATCTGTTCTGCTGTCGGTCAGCAATCTCACGGCAAATTTGCCGAGCCTCTCCGGAATGCACAGCCAGACAGAGCTCAGCGCAAAAGCTAGAGAACCTGGCAGAGGGAGACCCACAGTGCCACAAATAATCTTTCTTTTCTTTTCTTTTCTTTCTTTTTCGATCTCTTTGTTTTATTTCTTTCTTGCCTCTCTTTCTTTTCTCTCTCTCTCTTTCCTCTCTCTCTTTCTTTCTTTTTTCCTACATGGCAAGATCTCCTCATGACAGAAGTAATCTGCCTTGACTTCTGTTTCCACGCTGCTTCTGCCAGGACCATGCGCTCGGCGTGTTTTTCTTTCCGCTGTAATAATCCAGGCCCTTCCCAGCTCTGGTCCCCTCAGCTGTTCCCTGGCAGTCCCTTCTGCTGGTGAAAACACATATGGCGCCGACCTGACCAGGGTGTAAGTCAGGGCTCGCCACTGTGTGGTGACTATCAGGCAGATGACTGAACGTCTTTGGGACTCCGTTCCCTCACCGTAAAATGGAGGTTAATACCGGCCTTCTTCTACTCCCTAAATGCACGTGTTTGTCCTGGCCACCTGGCCCAATTGTTGGCTGTTCACGCGCCGGTTACCCCCACAGGACGAGTCAGCCAATTAAAGGCGATCCAGGCCCGGTCCTGGGATGAGACTCCTTTTCTCATCCCAGGGCTGGACAAGCAGCAGGCCTGGGCCCGGCTCTGCCTTGTCACATGCAGGGGGCCAGCCCATTTGCTCGCCTGTGTATAGGAGCGTGAGGTCACGCTGGCTGCTCCCGCCCCGCCGGGGCCTTTAGTGTCCCTGGTCCCTAAAGGCCAGGCCGCTCCACCGCCGGAGAAGGCGCCAACCCCAGCCGAGCCCAACCGCAGTTGCCGGTTGCCGGACCACCTGTTGCTGCAGCTCTGATTGGTTCCTTCCCTCGACAACGCGGCGGCTGTAACCAATCGACAGCGAGGCCAGTGGCGAGACCCCGCCCCGCCCTGCAGTAGCCAGCCGCGCTCTCGCTGGCAGGAGGGTAGGTAGTTTGCCCAGCGTTGGGGGCTGGGCCCATAAAAAAGAAAGTACACTTAGACCCGACCCCGCTGAACGCTGTTAGAAACCGTCCTGGCTGGGAGGCAAGAGGTGTGTGACTGGACAAGACTCCTTTCTGGCCGTCAGTCTTGCCATCCTCACAAAGAGGTTGGCGGGCCGAGAGAGTGTGAGGCAGAGGCGGGGAGTGGCAAGGGAGTGACCATCTGGGGGAACGAAAGAGTAAACGCGGTGATGGGACGCACAGAAATGGGAGTGGAGAAAGTCACGGAGAGAACCTTAGGCGGGGCGGTCCCCGCGGAAAGGCGGTGGCTCCAGAGTCTCCTCACCCAAGTAAGAGCTGGCACGCCCCGCCCCGCAGGCCCCGCCCCGCAGGCCCCGCCCCCGAGACTTGTGCCGCGCCGCCGCCCGCGCGGAGCCACACTGCAAAGCCCTGCTGTTCGCGCCTTGAGATTGACCGTCCGCGTTGGTCCTGCTCGCCCGACGCGCCCTCCTCCAGCAGATACACACAGCCGCACGCACTCTCGTGTTCTCCCTGAGGCTTGGTGAGCCTGGCCCCAGCCCTGCACCCTCTGCGCCCCCTACACCTGTTCTGCGTGCGCTGCCCGCTCTTCCATTTCCCTTCTCTCCTACCCAAGTTTGTACTCTTTTCTTTCTTTCGGTTTTATTTTTTGTTTTTGTTTGTTTGTTTGTTTGTTTGTTTGAGACAGGCTGTCGCTCTGTCTCCCAGGCTGGAGTGCAGTGGCGCGATCTCGGCTCACTGCAGCCTCCACCTCCCAGGTTCAAGCGATCCGCCTACCGAGTAGCTGGGATTACAGGCGCCCGCCTGGCTAATTTTTGTGTTTTGTAGAGACGGGGTTTCGCTTTGTTGCCCAGGCTGGTCTCGAACTCCTGAGTTCAAGCGATCCGCCCCCCTCGGCCTCACAAAGTCTTAGAATTTTAGGCGTGAGCCACCGCGCCCGGCCTGTACAAATCCTTTCTGTCCTTGGTTCTTTATTTCTCTTCTCTTACTCTTTTTCTTACTCCCTTTTGTTCTTTCCCTCTTCCGTTCGGTTGGCTGTGGTTTGATCCTCCACCTTTTCAATCCCTCCTTTCCACCACGACGCCCAGCCCTGCCTTGGATGGGGACCGTCAGCGATGACCACGATGACCTCTCTCTCACCAGGCGGCTCCAGGCAGTGTTCCTGCACTGCCTTTCCCAGGGCTTAGGGGCTTTTTCTAGTGGGCTTTGAGCTGCTCAGTCTGGCCCCTGCAGGGCGAGCTCCCAGCCCATCCAACCTCCTCACAGCCCGGCCTGGGCCCTAGCCAATTCCCGGAGATTCTCTGTCCCATCGTGACCCCCTCATAACTCTCTCACTCACCAAAGTCTGATGACTGTGCTAGGGGGTGCTTATCTAGAGTACTGGGTGTTACAAAAGCAGAAGCCTGGACAAGAGCCAATTTGTGATATTAAGCAGGTGGGGTGGGGGTGGGGAGTGTACCTAGGTTCATTTTCTACCCTGCTTTTCCCCTTTCCAGTGTGTGCACTTAATCAGTCCCTGGGTGAGGTGGGCCCTGTTCTCCATCCCCCTCCAAGGCATGGACTGGGTGGGCTTGTGTGTCTTGGGGCAGGTGGCCCTTTCTAAACTCTCCGCCTTTGCTCACCCACAGGACACATAGTATGACCATTAGGTGTTTCGTCTCCCACCCATTTTCTATGGAAAACCAAGGGGATCAGGCCATGATAGCCACTGGCAGCTTTGAAGAACGGGACACCTTTAGAGAAGCTTGATCTTGGAGGCCTCACCGTGAGACCTTACAAAGCCAGGTAAGAGTCCAGTCCAAGGAAGAGATCTCTTGCTGTCTCCTAACCCTGTGGTCTAGTCAGCGGGGCATTAACAAAAATAACTACCATCCCCACCCCATGACAGTGAAGTGGCTCTTTCCAGTTCACAGAGCACTCTCACACCTCCCTGCTCTCATTCTGGCCCTTCAGCCGAATCAAGCCAAGGTTCTTGCTCCCCATTTTATAAAGGAGAAAACAGGCCCACATGGAACGGTGACTGGCCCCAGGTCATCCTGGGAGCCAGTAGAAGAGCTAGGACAGGAACCTATTGTTCTAACTTCATATTTTTGATGGTAGCTTTTGACTATCCCTGAAACCGAGATTGGTAATCAGCCTTGCGCAGCTCTGAAACTGGTTATTTGCTGGGCACTGTAAAATAGGATTAACTATTTCTAGGCCTGCATTTTAATTGTTGTCAGTAGGGCCCCCTTACCCACCCTCTGAAGGACCTGGTTTGACAAACCCAAGGCAACGTTCAGAATGGCAGCTGAACCTCTGTGCACTTGTCTTTGGGCAGCAGCTGGGTCTTACTCTCTGGCCTTCACAACATCCTGCAACCCAACTCAAGGTCAGGAATGTGATAGACTCATGTCATGATGTCTCTGATGCCCAGAGAAGGGATACCATTTGCCTGAGCCTTCTCAGGACTATTTAATCAGCCTGAGAGAACTTTCCTTGTGAAAGGCCCTGCCTGTGCCTGGGGCTGAGAAAACAGCAGGAAGGAACTGAGGAGCTGGGCAGCAGTGCAAAGCAAATACTACCAGCTTTGGTGCCTGTAGGTGTGGCTCTTACTCATATCACATGGAAGTAAGGGCAGCCACCTTGCAGGGCTGCTCTGAGGATTGAGCTAATACAGTGCCCCGGGCATTGGGGTGGGGAAAGTTGTGGAGCACCTCCTGGGGGAAGGGGGTGTCAGAGCAGGGAACCTGGGGAGTCCAGGGGCACCTTCATCAACCCACTCTGTCATTTGAGCAGCAGTCTTCACTGAGCCTCGTGGGCAAGCTGGAGGGAAACAGGAAAAAGGTCAGGCCTTGTTCTGTAGGTCCCAGTGTAGTTGCTATTGTATCTTCATTTCCCTGGTTGCCCCAGCCACCTGGAGTGAGAAGCCCAAGAGGAAGCTGGGTGAGCTCTTTGTTTCCATGGGTCTCTGTATTCACAGCTGACTCCCTTCACCAGCCAGCTCTTTCATCTGAGCCCCAGCAACAAAGGCAGTCAGTCAGGCGGGGCTCAAAGCAGCTGCTCCAATGAAGTCAAAGAAATAAGCTCAGGGGAAGAAGCAGGTCACCCTCCCCAGCTAGGGTGCTGGGCTCACTTCCTCCTGGGGCAGTGGAGGAGGGCGTGGTTCCAATTCAGAACAAAATGGGGCTTTTGGTTTCCCTTATCACTCTTCACAGCTCTGACCTGTACCCCCATCCTTGCCTGTCTTGTGTAAGAGTGGATCCCCCTAAGTTGGAGGAAAGGAAACTGGCCCAAACAAAAAGGAGAGCAATTTTCTTTGCATCATATGGTAGGCCAGGAGGAGTCTAATGCCCCAGAGTTTACTCTCAGCCCCCAAAATCACCTAGCTGAATGTTACCTTATCTAAGAAGTCTTTAGTTTTGTTGTTGTTGTTGTTGTTTGAGACAAGGTCTCACTCTCTCACCCAGACTGGAACACAGTGGCACAATCACAGCTCACTGCAGCCTTAGCCTCCTGGGCTCAAGTAATCCTCCCAAGTAGCTGGGACTATAAGCATGCACCATCATGTCCAGCTAATTTATTTTTATTTATATTTTTTAGACAGGGTCTCACTATGTTGCCCTGGCTGGTCTTGAACTCCTGGGTTCAAGCAGCCCTCCCACTTCGGCCTCCCAAAGTGCTAGTTTGTTTTTGGTTTTTGGTTTTTTTTGAAACAGTCTTGCTCTGTCGCCTAGGCTGGAGTGCAGTGGCATAATCTCAGCTCACTGCAGCCTCCACCTCCTGGGTTCAAGCGATTCTCCTGCCTCAGCCTCCTAAGTAGCTGGGAATACAGGTGCGTGCCACCACACCCAGCTAATTTTTGTATTTTTAGTGTAGATGGGGTTTTGCCATGTTGGCCAAGCTGGTCTCAAACTCCTAACCTCAGGTGATCTGCCCGCCTCGGCCTCCCGAAGTGTTGGAATTACAGGCATGAGCCACTGCACCCAGCCCAGGAAGTCTTTTCTGATCACTCACTCTTCCTTCTCTCCCGATGGCATTGGTTGTTCCCTCCTTTGCATTTTGAGAGTATGTCCTGTAAGCCTCAAATGCAGCTTGAATCATCTGCCCACCCACGCCCTGTGCCCAACAGTAAGCCTCCTCTAGGGTAGATATTATCTCCTGCATCTCAGTGAACTACTGCCCAACAAAGTCACAAAACAGTGACTCTGGAGATCCTAAGCTATGTGGGAGCTGGAGGAAAGAATTAGACTGACGGTCTGGGAAGGGACTGAATTCGTCATCTTGTACCTTCCTTTTCTTCTTAAGTTCCAGACCCGTGGAAACCATTCCTGCCTAGACATCCAGAAGATAAGCGTGTGGGTCTGTGCCTGTCGGGTCTTAGTCTGGGTGAAACTTTCTCCACTTCTGTCAGCTCTCCAGATGAATCACAGAAGCAGGAACATGGGCATCATCAGTGAAACCTCTGCATCCAGCAGACAGAGGGCTGGTCCAGTGGCTGTTTATGAGGCAGCGCTAGGAGAGCTCTGATCCAGACTCTCCCTGTATTGAAAGGGAGGGAGCCCTTCGTGAAGTATTGACTGCTTGAGCAGGAATTGCTTCACCAGTGCCTAATTGAGTGCCTCTCGAGCTCACATCTATTTTCCCTCATGAGGCCACTTGGAGTCTTGCTGAGGGACTTGGTGCTATTAGGGAAGCTGGGGTTGGGGATGGTGAGCAGGGAGGGCCTAGGGACATCGTGGCTAATGGGGCTTTTCTCCTCTTGGCTTAGATTCCGGCAGAGTTCCTCTATCTCGTCTTGTTACTGATTAAAGGTGCCCCGTCTCCAGTGTTTCTCCATCTCCTGGGAGGTAGCAGGAAATCAGCATCATGGTTGGGTTCAAGGCCACAGATATCCCCCCTACTGCCACTGTGAAGTTTCTTGGGGCTGGTACAGCTGCCTGCATCGCAGATCTCATCACCTTTCCTCTGGATACTGCTAAAGTCCGGTTACAGGTGAGGGGATGAAGCCTGGGGATCTTGATGGTGTCTACTCTGTTCCCTCCCCAAGGACACAGACCCCTCAAGGGCCAGTGGGTATTTGGAGCATCAAGATGACTGGAGGTGGGAAGGGCAACATACCTATCCCTGTAGCTACCCCGTTTTGGCCTTACAGATCCAAGGAGAAAGTCAGGGGCCAGTGCGCGCTACAGCCGGTGCCCAGTACCGCGGTGTGCTGGGCACCATTCTGACCATGGTGCGTACCGAGGGCCCCCGAAGCCTCTACAATGGACTGGTTGCCGGCCTGCAGCGTCAAATGAGCTTTGCCTCTGTCCGCATCGGCCTGTATGACTCTGTCAAACAGTTCTACACCAAGGGCTCTGAGCGTGAGTATGGAGCTAGGCTGGAGGCCCCTTGGCCCTTTTTTCTCAGTGATGATAGATCTTAGTTCATTCAGCCATATAGGTGTTTTTAGGCCCCATGATCCCTAGGAAGATCAGAGGAACAGAGAACTGGAAGGGCCTGGTCCTCCGCATAGTTCCCGAGCACCTGGGCTATACCAGGCTCTGAGCAGGGCATCATCCCATGACAGTCCTCACCACCACCTTGGGAGTAGGCAGTATCATCCCAGTGTTATAGAAGAAGAGACTGAGGTGGGAAGGCAGTGGGTAGAGGGGGACTTTGGCCAAGGGCACACAGTCGAGAGCCAGGACACTCGCCTTCAAGGCCAGCGTTCTTCCCTTTCACCTCCTTACTATGCTCTGCCAACCCTCCATTTTACATATGAAGAAACAGAGCCCCAAACAAAAGTTTTCTTTCCCAAGATCACATGGCAGGAAGAAGTAAAGCTGACCTGAGATCCCAAGTCTTAGGAGTCCCGGTCCTCAGAAAGCCACTTCTCTCTGAGCCTTGGTTTTACATTTGTCACATGGAAATGATTGTGATTTCTCAGGGCTGTTGAGCAGGTAAATGAAAATGTTTTATAAAAGAAAGCACCAGGTTTCATTTTGGTCTTACCCCTTGCTGTGTCCCTATCAAGGAGTAGACATTCATAGGGATATTTTGTTTGATGTGAGGAGTTCTTAGAGCAAGAGCTTGTAGAAGGCCAAAAGCTTCTGGATTCTATTCCCCAAAGCAGGAGATGACAGTGACAGGGTGGTTTTGGTGAGGAGAGATGAGGTAGAAAACCAGTGCAAGCCCGCTGGCCACTGACCTCATGACTCGCCCACAGATGCCAGCATTGGGAGCCGCCTCCTAGCAGGCAGCACCACAGGTGCCCTGGCTGTGGCTGTGGCCCAGCCCACGGATGTGGTAAAGGTCCGGTTCCAAGCTCAGGCCCGGGCTGGAGGTGGTCGGAGATACCAAAGCACCATCGATGCCTACAAGACCATTGCCCGAGAGGAAGGGTTTGGGGGCCTCTGGAAAGGTGTGTACGGTTGTTTTCTTTTCCCCTTTTCCTCCTCCCTGATTCTCTGGTCTCACCCAGGATCTCCCTCTTCCTACAGGGACCTCTCCCAATGTTGCTCGTAATGCCATTGTCAACTGTGCTGAGCTGGTGACCTATGACCTCATCAAGGATGCCCTTCTGAAAGCCAACCTCATGACAGGTGAGTCACAAGGTTGATGGTGCTGGCTCTCACCCTTCCCCCGTGCCGGGAGCAGGTGCAGGGGTCTAGTTGACACCAGAAGCCTACATCTTTTCATCCTATTTGCCCTTTGCAGGGAGAGTAAGATATATCTCTTACTTACCATATTGAAGCCAACTAGGATGAAGCTCCCACTTTGCATATTGAGGAACTGAGGCTAGATTGGCACAACGACTCTTTCAGGTCCTCAGAAGAGGTCTCAGCTGGAGTCCCTGTCTCTTGTTTTTGTTTTTTGTTTTGTTTTTTGTTTTTTTGAGACAGAGTCTCACCATGTAATCTCAGCTCATTGCAACCTTCTCCTCCCGGGTTCAAGCAATTCTTATGCCTCAGCCTCCTGAGTAGCTGGGATTACAGATGTGCACCAGCACACTGGCTAATTTTTGTATTTTTAGTAGAGACAGAGTTTCACCATGTTAGCCAGGCTGGTCTCGAACTCCTGGCCTCAAGTGATCCACCCGCCTTGGCCTCCCAAAGTGCTGGGATTACAGGTGTGAGCCACCGCGCCCCACCCTCTTATTTGTTTTTTGAGACAGGGTCTTGCTGTGTTGCCCAGGCTGGAGTGCAGTGGGGTGATTAATGGCTCCTTGCAGCCTCAATCTCCCTGACTCAAGCAATCCTCCCACCTCAGCCTCCTGAGTAGCTGGGACTATAGGCACGCACCACTATGTCTGGCTAATTTTTGTATTTTGTAGAGACAGGGATTTGCCATGTTGCCCAGTCTGGTCTTGAACTCCTGGGCTCAAGTGATCCACCCACCTCAGCCTCCAAAAGTCCTGGATTACAGGCATGAGCCATTGTGCCCACCCTCTCTGTCTCTTTAAAATCGTGAAAACTCTTAGCTACTTAAGTAATTCTCCTTCCTTCTGGAATGATGACTGAAGAATCTTGACTGCCTTGCCTGCTCCTCCTTGGCAGATGACCTCCCTTGCCACTTCACTTCCGCCTTTGGGGCAGGCTTCTGCACCACTGTCATCGCCTCCCCTGTAGACGTGGTCAAGACGAGATACATGAACTCTGCGCTGGGCCAGTACAGCAGCGCTGGCCACTGTGCCCTCACCATGCTCCAGAAGGAGGGACCCCGAGCCTTCTACAAAGGGTGAGCCTCTGATCCTCCCCACCCGGTTCAGGCCTCTTGGCTATGCATGTCTACCATGGGTGGGAGAGGAGCACCCGGAAGTGAGTATCAGCCCAGTGGGTTGATAGCCCAGGCTATTTCTGATCCCACTCCTGGCATTTCGCCAGCTTTCACTTATCCCTTTAATTCCTTCCTCCCAGAATTGCTACCATCACAATTTTGTGTTTGTTAAACGGAGACTCAAAGGGAATTCATACCAGGCAGCTGTGAGCTCAGTTCACTGAGTCCTCCCAGCCTCCTCTGGGACAGAGCCACTGGGTTGGATTGAATACCAGGCCCAGTGAGGAAAGTGGGAGGTGGAGGTACCCCCATGACCTGTGTTTTTTCTCCCCTAGGTTCATGCCTTCCTTTCTCCGCTTGGGTTCCTGGAACGTGGTGATGTTCGTCACCTATGAGCAGCTGAAACGGGCCCTCATGGCCGCCTGCACTTCCCGAGAGGCTCCCTTCTGAGCCTCTCCTGCTGCTGACCTGATCACCTCTGGCTTTGGCTCTAGCCGGGCCATGCTTTCCTTTTCTTCCTTCTTTCCCTTCCCTCCTTCCCTCTTTCCCCGCCTCTCTCTTCCGCGCCTTTACCCACCACCTTCCCTCTCTCCACATTGTCATCTCCTCATTGTCTCTCAGTGCTGGTGGAGTTGACATTTGACAGTGTGGGAGGCCTGGTACCAGCCAGGATCCCAAGCCTCCCGTCCCTTGGAACATTCAGCCAGAATCTTCGTCCTGCCCCCCGCAGCCCACCCTAGCCCACTTGTCACCCATAAAGCAAGCTCAACCTTGGTGTCTCCTCCTCCTCTTGTAGCTGTTACCAGAGGTCTTGGTCCAATGGCCTTTTTGGTACCTGGTGGGCAGGGGAGGAACCACCTGACTTTGAAAATGGGTGTGATCCACCTTCCACCTCCAGCATCCAATCTGCAGCCCGTGGAGGCCATCTAGTCCATTTCTTTTCAGACCTAGGCCCTACACTAACATGGGGAGAGCAGGAGCCACCTGAGAGACAGCAGTGGCCTTGCTCTCGCCTCCCCTTCTTTTGCCAGGCCACTTGAGCTCTTACTCAGAATCTGGTACCCTAGTGCCTGCAATCCCAACCCCCCACCCCAGCCACAGGCCTGTTTATCTGCACAACAAGAGTGCTCCTGTCTGCCCTGCATCTCCTGCAGTTCCAGAGGAACATGAGACTCTTAGATGCTGTCAACTTTATTTTATTCCATTTTACAAACGGAAGGAAGACCCACCTCTCCCAAAGTCCCAGACCTTGTGAGAACAAGTCAGCCTCCTTTCACCCTCCACAGCCATACCCACAGAGGAAGTGTTACTGAACTGGGTGGAGCAGGCCCTGACTCCACAGAGGGTGGGTGGAGGCTGCAGGGTAAATATCCGGTTTCTGCCTGAGGATACTTTCCATTTGTATTTTTTGTTGTTTTGAGACAGGGTCTCACTTGCTGCCACCCAGGCTGGAGTGCAATAGTGCAATCTCGGCTCACTGCAACCTCTCCCAGGTTCAGGCAATTCTCCTGCCTCAGCCTCCCAAGTAGCTGGGATTACAGGCATACACTATCACACTTGGCTAATTTTTGTGTTTTTAGTAGAGACGGGGTTTTGCCATGTTGGCCAGGCTGGTCTCGAACTCCTGACCTCAAGCAATCCACCTACCTCAGCCTCCCAAAGTGCTGGGATTACAGGCGTGAGCCACTGCACCTGGCCAGGATACTTTCCATTTGGGGTCTCACCACAGCCCCTCTCCACCTGCCCCCGCCCCAGCTAGGGATCCAAGGAGTCCATAGGAAACCAGGGCTTTGGCTACACAGGGGTCTCCGCTTCTCTGTCCCTGTTCTTACCACCTGCCCTCAGAGGCAGGTGGGCAGGGCTACTACAATTTCAAGGAGTGGAGACTGAGGTCCCAGAATCCCAAGGCATCTTCTGTAGGGCTGGGCCCTTAGTAATATGTCACTCAGACCCAGTTCGTAGGTGTCTGAAGAAGCTGAGGCCTGACACAGGCGATGCAGGCAAGAACACCCAGAAAGTCCGCTACTGAACTGGGACCGGGACCCGGTCCTCCTTCCCCTTCTGGACTCCCCAAGACCAATGCTGGGGTCCTTGGGGAAGCCTGTTCGGCAGCTGTGGAGCCAGGCCCTGAGAACACAACCACTCTCCCTCTTCCCTCAGCCTCAAGCAGCTGACGCCACTGCTCCTTCCCCTCATTAGCCCAGTGGTCAGAGCTGGAGGCTAGACCCTTCAGTGCTTGGGTTGAGGGCCAGGGCGTTAGACTGGTTCTTGGAGAAGGAACGAGGGTCCAGGATTCTTCAACTTCCTTCTTAGTTTTTGACAAATTGATCTGAGGCCCCATAGTCCTCGGGAGGGACAGGGTTGAGTGCCATAAGGCGGCAAACCAGGTTAAGAGTTGACAGGCAGCCCAGGCAGGCTGCAGGGGGTGGCATGTACGGAGGACCTGGCCAGTGCTTTATGTACCTTCTCACACTAATCCTTTGAGGCAGGCTGTTAGCTCTGCTCTGGACGGGAGGAAGGAGGGGCAGTTTAGTAGGTGTGTGTCAAAGCTAAACAGGCCAGGTGGGCATGAGCAAGTCAGCTGGTTCATTCAGCAGCCTTAATAGACATGAGGCTACCCACCTTCATTGTGGTTCTGGGTGTGGCCTTGGGACAATGAGCTGGGAACAGTGGTAGGAACCACTGGAAAACATACCAGTGGGTCTCATTCATTCTGATCAGAGGTAGATCAATTCTCTTTGGTCCCCAACCCTTTAATGCCTATTAAGTGGGCATATGATAAGCCCTGCTTTGCCTAATTCAAGGTAGCGCCGAAGATCACTGAGGTAATAGGAATCTCCTAAGGGACTTTCAGGCCTGAGACCCAGGCTTCCTTCAGAGCCTCATGATAAGGAGTAGGCTTTCCTGCTGCCCTACAGGAGACCTAGAGTTCAATAATTTCACAGCCCTGGCTCTACTTTCACAGCCCCTCTCAATTCAGGGCTTGCTCTCAGAACAGGGCAGCTCTCACCATCCCACTCCACCTGAGTCCTGCCCCTGAGTATTTCATGCCTCACCATCTGGTTTCCATGAAAGGCCTGCAAGGTAGGGGCTACAAGCTTTAAGAGAGATGAAGTGACTTGCCCAGAGGCACACAGCTGGCTAGTAACACACCTGGGATCCAGAACAGGTGTATCTGACTCCAAAGCCCACGTGCTTTTAACTACTGTGCTGAAATGCTTCCTGGAGCCTTGGTCCTGGAGTCTTCATCGCAAGGTCTTTGGGCAGCTGACTTTACGGTGAATGTTTTTTGTTTTTTGTTTTTTTGAGATAGAGTCTCGCTCTGTTGCCAGGCTGGAGTGCAGTGGCACGATCTCGGCTCACTGCAACCTCTGCCTCCTGGTTCAGGTGATTCTCCTGCCTCAGCCTGCCAAGTAGCTGGGATTACAAGTGAATGCCACCATGCCCGGCTAAGTTTTGTATTTTTAGTAGAGACGAGGTTTCACCATGTTGCCCAGGCTGGTCTCAAACCCCTGACCTTGTGATCCACCCACCTCAGCCTCCCAAAGTGCTGGCATTACAGGCGTGAGCCACTGCGCCCAGCCCATGGTGATTTTTTTAATGACAAAAGTGCTACTGAACCCCCATTTAAGAAAAAGCCTTAAGCTGATGTGATTTGAATGGTGGAGTCCCAAGCAATCTGAACGTGGGGCCATTTCTGGCACCTCTGAAGGCATTCCATGGAATTGGCTACCTACTCCCCGAAGCCTGGATCTATCCTCACCCAAGCTCAGACTCTAGAAGGGAACCTCGCTGGCATGGAAGGGGAGCGTAGCACACTTGTTGACTTTGAGGAGGCAAGTGTGGTCTACGCAGGCCCGGTTGGACGTGGATGCTGGAACTCCAGGCCTTGGGGGCAGTAGGACTGTTACCCCTTCCTGAATCTAAGCAGTGAGTTCACCAAGCACTTTCACATCAATGATTTCAGTCCTCACAATGTGCCTGTGAAGGGGGTTATGAGCTCTGCTCTACTGACAAGACAGGTGTGGTAACTGGTTCCAGGAGAAAGTGGCAGGGCTGGGATCAGAACTTGGGTTTCCCAGATCACCCTGCCCAGGACCCTATCACAGACCAGGGGATTGAGGCCAGAGGGGTAGAACCAAAGCTGTTTCCAGTGCACACGTGTTCTTTATGCTGCTCTTCTACACAGGGTGAGTCTATGGGAAGTGACCTTCAAGGTTTTGGGGGGTTTCTGGTTTTGTTTCGTTTTGTTTGAGACAGAATCTTGCTCTGTCACCCAGGCTGGAGTGCAGTGCCACAATCTTGGCTAACTGCAACCTCCACCTCCTGGATTCAAGTGGTTCCCCTGCCTCAGCCTCCCGAGTAGCTGGGATTATAGGCACTCACCTCCACACTCAGCTAATTTTTGTATTTTTAGTAGAGACGGGTTTTTACCATGTTTGCCAGGCTAATCTCAAACTCCTGACCTCAGGTGATCCACCTGCCTCGGCCTCCCAAAGTCCTGGGATTACAAACATGAGCCACCACACCCGGCCTTTTTGGGTTTTTTTGAGATGGAGTTTCACTTTTGCCCAGGCTGGAGTGCAGTGGAGCGATCTCAGCTCACTGCAACTCTGCCTCCCCGGTTCAAGCAATTCTCCTGCCTCAACCTTTGGAGTAGCTGGGATTACAGGTGCCCGCCATCACACCTGGCTAATTTTTGTATTTAGTAGAAATGAGGTTTCACTATGTTGGCCATGCTGGTCTGGAACTCCTGACCTCAAGTGATCCGCCCACCTTGGCCTCCCAAAGTCTAGGCGTGAGCCACCGCACCCTGCCACCTTCAAGGTTCTGATGACAGCTTTGCCACTGAGGCCTGAGTGACCTGCAACAAATGTTTTCTTTTGTGCTTTAGTTTTCCTGTCTCTAACGTGACCATACCATGCTCCAGACATTGTCTCTTCTGTCATGAAAAGCCAGAGCAGAGCTAGAGACCCTCAGAGGCCACACAGCCCTGCCCCACTCTATCAAAGTGGAAGCACAGAGGATCTGAACCCTTACCTGCCCTTTCCCACAAAGCCAGGACAGGGACCCAGGCACTCAGCTCCTTGGGCCTCTTTCTTCCCTGTGCCCCCCAAGAAAGGCTAATATGAAGCTCCTCTCCAACACACTCTCATGGGTGTAGCTGGAGGACAGGAAATAGATCTTTATTATGTTAGTTTAAGCCCTGCACCATCCCACTCTGGTATCATATCTGTGCAGCAGGCTCCCTGAGGTTATGCACAGGTCACACCCTGAGGCTGTGGCGGGTAGGGGTGGGGTGAGGCCCAGCTAGCCTCCTCTCACCCCTGCTCCAGCCCACCGCAGTCATGTCAGCAATGCCTGGCGCAGCATCTGCTTCTTCTGGGGTGTGAGGCGGGTGGGGAACTGGATGTCGAAGAAGATGAAGAGATCCCCCTTCTTAGTGGGGTCCTCCGGCAATGGCATCCCCTCACCTGGCACCTTCTTGAAGTATTTGGGGCTGAAATAGGATGAAAGAAAGGAACTTAGACATCATCCCAGAGCAGCACCTCAGCAAGTCCCTGTCACATAACCCCTGTCACATAACCCCAGGAAGGGACAGTCACTCCCGCCTTCACCTGGAGTGGCTCTTAGCCAGAACTGGTTGGGAAAGGAGAGGAGATTGGCTTATTCCAAACAGCTTGCTCCCTGAAAACCTGTTTACACTGAGTCTCTGATGGAGGATTCCAGAAACTTTGTTTAAGATACGGGAAACGGGAAGTAAGGGTGAGCAAA